CCGCCAGCACAAGGGAAGGTGGATGTTTAAAGCCTGACTCTCACGCTCAGCAGTGAGGCCGGCTCTGTGTCCGGGAACGTGGCACCAGCTTTTTATTTTTGAGGCTAGAAATTTAAGGTAACAGGGACTTTCCAAGCGCTGGGGAAGCCGCGCACCTACAGGCCTTCCTTTTCTCTTCCCTACCTGGCACTTTGCGTTTCGAGTAAAACTTGGTGTCAGGGTTTTGCTTCCATAAACTTTGCTCTGCAGAAATCTACAGTTCGGAGAGACGCGTTGAACACTGTTTTCAAAACTAAAATCCAAGAGAAGTGTGGCCCTTTGCTCAGCGGCAGGAATCAGGCTGAGCGGGCTCTTCTCCACTGCAGCTGGGAAGGAGGGATCTGGGAGCCGCGTTTGGGACCCCCAGCCTGGGGCACCTTGCAGGTGCTGCGGGTCCCTTCCGGGCAGGAACCAGGGGACCTCGTTCATTTCAGCACTTCCTGGGGCCACCGCGCAGGGCTGAGCCGCCCGCCCACACAGAGCATGTCCGGGGGGCGCGGGGCGCAGGAGGGGCCGCGGCAAAGGCCCCAGAGGACACGCAGGGCCCGGGCCACCCCTTGCAGGGTCTCTGCCCGTTTTTCCAACTAAGGGGCGCTGGGACTTTGGGATGCGCCGCGGTCTGAGTGGGTCCCGGGGCCCCTTCCGCGGGGAGGGAGCAGGACCCCGCCTCGCAGCCGCTCCCCATCCCCGCAGCGGGTCCCCAGGACTGGCCCTGCTCCTCTCACCGGTGCCCGCGGCGCCCCGGCCTGCAGCACTCCAGGGTGGGCGCTTCCCGCGTCTGGGGCGGGCAGGCAGGGCGGGCCCTGGAACCCCCACCCCGTACCCAGCCCCCAGCCCTGCTCCCCCACCCCACGCCCTGGAACCCCCCGCCCTGCGCCCCCCGCCCCTCCCTGATCTCAGCCGCACCGGGGCCTGGGACGCTGCAGCAGGAACCCGGCGTGGAGGGAAAGCAAAGTCTTCTCTTTCCCGGGTAACCATGGAAACCTCGAGAAGGATGGAAACCCCCAGAGTTCAGGGACGCGCAGGCGACGCAGCTGCGACCCCCTCACCCCGCAGCGCAGCGGCCCCCGGGGCTCCGCACGATGGATGCGCGCGTGGGAAGCGACTTTCCCCGAGTTCATTAAATGAGCTCTGAACAAGCCTATCCGGAAGACGCTCCTTGGTAAGTCCCAACACGAACAGCCAGAAGCCTCTAGAAGGAGAAGCCGGCGCGGGCCAGCCCTGCGGGGATGCAGGAGGCGGGGCGGGATCGGCGAGGGGGCGGGTGCCGGGAAGGCCAGGCCGGGCCCAGGGGATCCGGGGCTGCGAACCCGCCGCACAGCGAGGGTCGGTCCATCCCGCGCAGCGGGCCCGGTGCCTCCAGTGGGGTCCGTGATGATGGGCAAAAAAAGAAAAAAAAAAAAAAAAGGAAAATATGTGAGAGAAGAGCCTTTAAAACCTGAATGTGGAAAACTTTCCTAATGATAAACAGAAATCCAGGAACGATAAGGGAAAAGATGAACACGTGACAACGTTAAAAAACAGAACATTTTACACCAGACAAAATCATTAGCGACATAAATAAATGATAAAGCAGGGAAAGAACGTGCAGCGTGGATCGCGGAGTTACCGTCTGTAAAGTGGAAAGAGCTGAGGAGACAGAAGAAGAAGGCAGCCCCAAGGCTGTGCTCAGCCTCCTCCTAAAAAGAGAAATCCTGGCCGGGCGCGGTGGCTCAGGCCTGTCATCCCAGCACTTTAAGAGGCCGAGGCGGGCAGATCACCAGATCAGGAGATGGAGACCATCTTGGCCAACATGGTGAAACCCCGTCTCTACTAAAAGTATAAAAATCAGCTGAGTGTGGTGGTGGGCGCCTGTAACCCCAGCTACTCGGGAGGCTGAGGCGGGAGAGTGGCTTGAACCCGGGAGGCGGAGGTTGCAAGCTAAGACCACGCCACTGCACTCCAGCCTGGGTGACAGAGCAAGACTCCATCTCAACAACAACATCAATCAATCAATCAACAAACAATAAATAATAAATGAAAGAGATCCTAAGGGCAGCTGCACCAAGACAGCACTGGGAGGGAGAGGCCAGCCTGGCGATGGGGACATGCAGCGATGGGGATGCCCGGTGATGGGGATGGGGCACCAGGAATCGGGTCGGGATTTGGGCAGGGGAGGCGGGTCCATCTTTGCTCAGGAGTCCCACGCCCAGGGGTCTTTTCCACAGAAGAACCGATGCCATCAGTCATAGCCACACAGAGTGATCCAGACGTCCATGGAAGGCACACACCACGGGCCAGGCTGCTGCGGAAAGGAAGGGTCCCTGTGACAGTGTGGAGGCATCTCCACTTTTCCGTGCACACGTGTGATTTGCTTGCATCAAATACACACCAGGCCAAGGAAGGCCACGCGAAGGGGAACGGACACACTCACCTACAGGGAGGAGAGCAGACAGGGACAGCGGCACAGGCGAGGAAAACGTGGTCCCTGTGAATTCACCTTGTTTTATGTTTTGACTCTGGACCATAAAATATTTTATATATCATAGAACAAAATCCTAGTGCTTTGCCTTTTTCAAAATTTTAGACAGGGTCTTACTCTGTCACCCAGGCTGGAGTGCAGTGGCACGATCTCAGCTCACTGCAACCTCCGCCTCCCGGGTTCAAGCAATTCTCCCGCCTCAGCCTCCCAAGTAGCTGGGGTTACAGGTGCTCACCACCACACTCGGCTGATTTTTGTATTTTTAGTAGAGATGGGGTTTCACCATGTTGGCCAGGCTGGTCTCAAACTCCCGACCTCAGGTGATCCGCCCACCTAGGCCTCCCACAGTGCTGGCATTTGCGGTGTGAGCCACAGCACCCGGCCCGTTGTGCTCTTTGAATGGTAAGTGCATGTGGGGTGGTTCCGAGTGCCGGAACCCTGCAGCCTGTGTGGACATGGCCCCTTCAGAAAGAACCACAGGAATGCACTCGGACCCTGGAGGCTTCCTGGACCACACCGGGTGCAGATCAAACGCAAAGCCCGTTGAGTCCGGGGGGGTGGGGGAAGGGGGCATGGTCATGGCTTCCCGGGGCTCTGAGGGCCTCTGGGTCCCAGCATGTGGGCTTCCTCCTAGCTCTACCTTTCAACCACCTTCCCAACGTCCTGGCGTGAGAGGGGCCCCATTCTTGGGTTCAGTCACATCTCCCAGCTGCCCAAGCAACAGGTTCCTGCTGGCGGCGGATGCCCAGGACACCCGGGACACGGCACCCTGTGCTCCCTCGGCAAACGCGCTGAGGCCTCGCACGTGGGCCCCTGGGCCACGTCCTTGGGAGATGGCCCCTGGGCCCCCGCCTGCTGGTATCACTGGCCCACTCCCTATCACACCCACTCCCCATCCCCGCCTCGGGGCCCTCCCTGCTTTCCGGAGCCCGGCTGTGCCCTGAGGTACTGTGGTTTCCCAGCAAGCTTGGTGTTCTGTCGCAGGCTTTTAGACGTGCCGTTTCTTGGCTTCGTGTCCAGCACTAACACAGGCTCAGCTTCTGTCAGCTGTTTGGGCAAAAAGTATGCACGGAATCGCAGAGCTAACGGCTGGCAGTCTGCTGTGGAGTCGACACTGCAGAAAGGCTACATTCAGGTGGAGGCAGGGAACCGGCGGGCATGCCTCGGGGGTCGGGCAGCAGAGGCGGCAGACACCCCACCGTGTCTGTGGACGCTCCAGCAACACGTCCATGCCTGGGTGTGAGGGCGGCTAGGGGTCTCCGCAGGGCTGCTCACATTTAAGGACGCTGTGGTCCCTAAGCATGAGCCACTCATCACTAGGGGCTCAGACTCCTGAGCTGGGGGTGCCACTGTTCCCAGTGGGCTCTCTCAGAACGGGGTCGTGCTCCACGCTCACTCCCAGATGGAAATGAAAAGGCACAACAGAACCACCCAGTGGGGAGAGGGTGCCTGGGCCCGAAGAGCAGACCCACACCCACTGCCACTGTTGAGGGAGGAGCTCCTAGGACTCGCCTCTAATTCAGTCTGGGAAACAAAGGCCAGGCTTGGCCTGAAGGTGTGCGGTTCCTGCTCCGAGTCTGTTAACGAGTGCGCTCGGACTGACTGATTCCTTACTCCTGCGTACTGTGAATTAAGTTAAAAAATACTCGAGAACAAACATGGTAAACCTTCCCTTAAAGAACTTTATTTCTCTATTTTTATATGGATCATTTATTAAATTAGGAGGCTAAAAAGTAAAAATATATTTTACAATCAAAGAAAAATCTGGACAATGGACCCCAGTAAAATAATCAGAAGCACATGTTCTGAGACCCCGCCCGCTGACACCCTGCAGGGCAGCGCCGTGGAGAGCATCTGCAGAGTGGAAAGGAGCAGGGAGCCTCCGGCGACCTGTCTTCTGTCTCCGGAGCCCTGCCCGAGGCTCCGAGATGGCACAGTCAGGCTGTCCTTAGTGACCGCTGCCACAGAGCTGGCAATTGGCATCTTCAAACCCAGGAGCAGGAGCGGCAGAGGCCTGGCAAGGCCTGGGCCCTCAGACACCAGGGGCCTAAGCCCAGCTCCCAACCCCGCTGCAGCCTGCCCTTGTGAGCTGGCAAACAAGCCTGTCCTTCTGAGTGCGACGACCTCATTCACACCTGACAGGCGGGGGCGGGGGCGGGTGGGGGGTCGTGAACCAGCTAATTCTGGGACCGCTTGGAGGGGCTCAGCAAGCTGCTTCTACAGTAAGCCTTCAAGCAGAAAATAAAGCATAAAATGCAGGAAAGAAGAATCTTATTAAAGGACTTACAAAATGTGATTTATCTATTAAAAAAATAAAGCGTTCGTGAAAAAGAAAACTAAGAGATGGCAGCAAGCGTGGTCATCGGCAAAGGGTTGCTCTCCCTCTGGTGAGGTGGCCCCCACCGTGCGGCTCCCTCGGGCCCCCACTCGTCATTGGCGAAGGGTTATTCTCCGTCCAGCGAGGCTGGCCCCCACCGTGCGGCTCCCTCGGGCCCCCACTCGTCATTGGCGAAGGGTTATTCTCCGTCCAGCGAGGCTGGCCCCCACTGTGCGGCTCCCTCCGGCCCCGACACGGGCTGCTCAGGAGCTGGCAGCAGGGGCCACGTCCTCTCCAGGAGACACCCACAGAGCCACACATGCATGGTGTGGCAGTCTCACTGCACCCCAGCAATGCGAAGGCAGAAACCGGGGCTGGTGGCCACACCTGGGCGCCTGGACTCCGAAGCCCCCAGCACAGCGAGGCCTCCAAGTGTGGCCTGCGGTCCGTCCCGGGTAAGAGTTATTAATATCACAGATTATCTAGAACGTTCCAGTCCCGCCTGACACCTTCATTCCCAATGCAGAAGACGTAAGACCAGGCCATCTGAGACGGAATCCCAGGGCCCTCTGAGAGGTCGGCGTCTGCTGAGCAAACACCATGTCTTTCTTCTTCACACGATCAAAGGCCTTTAGGACCCACGGCTGAAGAAGGTGCCTGTTGCCGCCATGTCCCTCCCCCATGGCCACCACACACTTCAAGTTTACAAAAATAAATATTTATCAACAGTATATTTGACAAAAACCACCCCCAGTCGGTGGCAGAAAGCAGTATTTTCTAGCTGACACTGAAACTTAACCTATTTTTTCGAGGGAGAAAAAGACTAAAATGTAAGCACTAACTTCCTCCTTCTGCATCTTCCACAGAAGACCACTGGGCCTTCTCTTTCTGTCCGTATCAGTGGGTTTCCGTCCGAAGGCTGGGGGCAGACACTTGAACCACAAACGGCAGACATGCGGGTGCGCACACAAGCGTCTCGATGGCATGCGGATTACGTAAAGTGCATCACTTGTGAGAAGTTTCTCAAATTCCTGACTTTCATAACCAGGTGTCACCTAAAATCTGTCCTGCAAACCAAGATGCTACACGCGGTGCCCAGGCAGGCAGAGGTGAGGCAAGCCTCCTGCCTCAGAAAGCTTTTACGCGGCCACATTCGCCAGGCTTCCCGAGCCACACTGAACCTAGGTCCCGGGCACAGCAGCTGCCCAAGCTGTCGTCAGCAGTCGGCTGGCAGTGCTGCAACACCCTCTCAGAATCATGCACGTGCCGCCTCTATCACCTCCCACCCCAGCCTTGCAAGGCCTGTTGAGAAGAGAAGCCCCGTGGGGGGACACCACGGAGCTGGCGTGAGCAGCAGGACAGACGGACGGCAACCTCCTGCGGGTGAAGGACCCGGCTTCAGATGCCCGCTGGCTGGCAATCAGGCAGAGCCCGGCCAACCGTGCCAGGCTCCCCTCCTCATGCCAGGTGTGGGTTCATCCTGCCTTCAGGCTGGAGTCTGTCACAAGGCTGGCTGGACAGTGGCCAGGTGAGCCAGGCCAGAGGCCGGCCCCACGCCATCCACAGGAAGCGGCTTGGCTCACCAGACCCAAGCCCTGGGCAGGGGCCAGGCTCACAGCAAAGCGCATTAGGGCAAGGACGTGAGTTTTCGGCTGGGAAGTTCTAAAAAAACCCACAAATCAGTGTGAGGGATTGTGTGTGCCTTAATCAACAGCTCTATTCCAATTACGTCACATCACAAAATGCCATGAATGGAATCAGAAGGCGCTCCACCACCTCCAACACCCTGGCAGAAGCAGCTGCTCTCTACAGCAAGAACATTTTCCAGAACAGCATGAGAAGGGGAGACGCACGTCCTGGGGGCAGGAGAATGCGCCGAGACCTCCCAGCACAAGAGGCGAAGGGAGCCCCCGCCCCGTCCTGGGCCGCCAGGAACCGAAAACCCCCATGCACCCAGAGCGGGCGTGGGCGGGGCAGCCCAGACGTCCATGGGAGGGGCGACAGGGGCCGTGTCACGGGGATCTTGTTGGGACAGCATTCCTTGGGGAGCGCCCGGTCGGCGTGTCCGAAGAGCTGGGGTGACACGGCAGCGAGGCGGGGGCTCTACGGCTCCTCCCCCATCTGCAGCAGGGAGTTGATGGCGGCGTCCTTGTTCCCTCGCTGGGCTTCCAGCACCGAGCGGATCACCTCCTGGTCCATGTTGGGGAACATGTCCTGGATGGCTTTCAGGTCCTCCTCGCTACAGCGGGGCTGGGCGTTCACGGCGGCCGGGGGCAGGGCCACGGGCACCATGCCGGGGCTGCAGACGGCGGGCATCCCTGGAACCAAAGATCAAGTTTGGTAAAAACATCGGAAGGTTCCAGAAGTGCCACACTAGCTCCTGCTGAAAGAAGAAAACGACGCATCCCACCGGCCTTCCTCAGGGAGGGGCCCCCTCGGGTCTCAGCAAACACCAGTCCCGAAAGACACCATGGAAATACAAACCCTCAAACAGCAACGCCAGGCACAGCCACGGGGAAGGCGGGGCAGGGGTCCCCAGGCACAGCCACGGGGAAGGCGGGGCAGGGGTCCCCAGGCACAGCCACGGGGAAGGCGGGGCAGGGGTCCCCAGGCACAGCCACGGGGAAGGCGGGGCAGGGGTCCCCAGGCACAGCCACGGGGAAGGCGGGGCAGGGGTCCCCAGGCACAGCCACGGGAAGACGGGGCAGGGGTCCCCAGGCACAGCCACGGGGAAGGCGGGGCAGGGGTCCCCAGGCACAGCCACGGGGAGGCGGGGCAGGGGTCTCTGAGACGCATCCTTCACTAACTCATGTTCCTTCCACACAAAAATCAAAGCTTGATCTTTCAAATCTCACCCGAGCCTGTTTTCTAACTAGCAGGCTGGGGGGTGGTGGTTTGATCCCTTCAGAACTCGTGAATTTGCACCGCACACGCTTGTCTTCACTGACCAGAGGGCACACAGCATTCTCTTCATCTGGGGAACGGACTACACGAAATGTCACGCCCGCTGATCCGAACACTGCAGGGTCTGAGCCTCCTCCTTTATCAGGCATTCTACAAGATGCTTTTGCAGCTTGGCCAGTGTGTCACTGAACTGTGTGCTGGTTGAGCAGCCACCACAGGCACTGAAGACCTCAGCAAAGCTGCAGCCGATGCCCAGAATGACAACCACACACACATACAAACTACACCAAAAAATGCTCACAAAACTCACGCAAGTCAGGCAGCAGGTGTGGTGCACGGGGACCCTCAGTGTACTGGGGCCACCGTCCAGGGTTCCTGGCATCACCACCCCACAGCTACGCAGGCCCCTCGCCCCGTGTCTCATGCGGGTGGACACACTGAGATGCAATCTATCAAGCAGGAGCTGCACAGTGGTTCAGCCACTGCAGCACACACACCCCAAAGGCACGGTGTGGCCGGACTTAAAGCTCGCCTCCCAGCCTGGTGGCCACTCCCTAAAACCACAAGCAGCCCTGAGCACAGGCAGCGTGTGCAGGGCTCAGCAACCAGCGAGGCACAGAGCTCCTCCTGCAGCAGCAGCTGGAGCAGGGCAAGGGTTCACCGCGCACCCGTTCGTTCACCTTTAAAAGCACGAACGATCTCCCAGCTAGGCTCACTGGAGCACTAGAGCCCCAATCTGAGGATAGGACTTTTGTTCCTTTCTACACTCGGAGGACCCTAAAGGCAACAGAAGCCATTTCAACTCTGGCCTGAACCAACGCCGGCAACAAGGACCTGCAGTGGTGGAAACGGAGCGGACGGGGCTGGCCACTGAGCCTCCAGTGCCAGCTGTAAAGACCGGGGCTCCTCAGAAAGGAAGGCCGCCGCTTCCCAGCTCCTTCCAGGCCAGGCCGACTCTTTCTCCACACCCACCCCTGCCTCCTCCGCTTCCCGGCTCTCTCTGGGCCAGGCCCACCTTTCCTCCATACCCACCCCTGCCTCCTCCGCTTCCCGGCTCTCTCTGGGCCAGGCCCACCTTTCCTCCATACCCACCCCTGCCTCCTCCGCTTCCCGGCTCTCTCTGGGCCAGGCCCACCTTTCCTCCACGCCCACGCCTGCCTCTTGCCCTGGCCAGCGGACACCTCACCTCACTGGGAAAGCATCATCCCCACACTGATCAGCCTTTCAGCAATGAGGGAAAATGAACCAAACCACAGCCAGGTGGGGACGTGGCCACCCTCACCACCCTTTCTTCTTCCTCAAACAAGACAAAGGCTCGGCCGCTACCTGTCCTGGAGGGACCCCGGGACCCCCGTGGCTTTCTGGGCGCCCCAGCCGGCAGGGGGGCAGGAGCTCAGCCATCACCTGTCCCTGCCCACACGGCTCCCCACAGCATGGCAACAGGAGGAATGGAGCTCGGCACTGCCACTCTCTCCAGCCTTTTCCAGTCTGACGGAGAAGGGACAGGAGGGGAGATCGCTGCAAAATCGACAATGGTGACTGCGATGCTGGGACGTCATGGCCTGGGGCGCCTGAGAAACCCGCTCTGCTGACGACGAGGGGATGTGGCGCCGACTGGCCCTCAAGTGAGTCCCGACAGCACGGCCCCAACACACTCGGGACCAGGCACCCCAGGGGAAGAGGTGAGTGCTTCCGTGGTGTGGGCCGAGGGGCAGTGGCCCGGCTCACTCCCCTCCTCCCTGCAGGGCAGAGGCCATGTGCCTGGCCTGAGCCTGACCCATCCTGGTTACCAAGTGTGATATGTCCATCAAGCCCTCCGGGAATGGAGAGTGCACCGTGTCAGGGCTGCCTGGGGACTTCAGGAGGACAGACCAGGAGCTCTGGGGCCTGGCGGAGAGCAAATTCCCCGAAACGTGGGCAGAGAGGACGCCACGGGAGCCGGGGGCAGCCCAGACCCCACCTGTAGCAGCCCTGGGAGGACTGGTGGGCGGCTTCGCTGTGTCCCTGCTGTCCACCGTGCTCAGCGTTCTGCACCCACGCGGACGGACGCGCAGCACAGGACAGGCCCCACCTCACATTCTTCATGCCGCGTGAATCTGCTGTCATACCTCAGCAAAATCAAATACTCTACTGACAAACACAGCGGTACCCAGGAAAACCAAAACCTGTCCCTTTTCCATTCAGGAAAAATTGCTCCGAGAACACCCTGACCTCAGACCACACAGCACGATGAGTCCCGGCCGCTGGTGGGCAGGGGGGCATCGGCCCTGCTCAGGCTGAAGGCATGTGGCTCTGGGCCCCAGACGTCTCGCATGACAGTGGAAAGACATCCAAAGAGCAGGTGGGGACAACCATCCAGCTCAGAGACTGTTCCAGAACTCCCAAGGCTTGTTGCTCTTCTCCCTCCACAGAGCGTATCACAAAGAAGAAAACCTGCGTGATTCCTTGTTCCACAGCGACCAAGTTAGCGGGTTAATAAACACAACAGCAGAGAGCTCGAAGTGACAGTCTGGGAAACTTAAGCATCCAATTCTCATTTTGAATGGAACCATTTTGTATTTTAAACGACATGTGCTGCTCAGCTGCAAACTCTGTGATTGCTGGAATTCCACCTGCGAGGGGAAGCATGCCTGGGCTGTCGGGTGAGCCCTTGGCTGGCCCTCTCTGGAACTCACGGGCGCTGTGAACGCTGGCTGTTCCCATGCATGGTGCCACGCGTGCACGTTCTCTATGGACCTCCCTCTTGTCCGTCCTGCCAGCAGGTGTCCACCTGCGCGTTCAGCTTTGCTTTCATACTTTATGGACAGGCATCCACGTCACAGTCTGGTCGGCTCCACAGAAACCAGTGGGGGTTGTGCCCACAGAGACGCAGGCCAGGATGACGGGAGGGACTGCGCTGCTGAGGACGTAGGACAGTAGCTGTCCCCTCACCCAGAGAAAAGCACTCCAGGCCTGTGTGAAACGGAGGCGCACAAGGGAATAGACAGAAACAGCGTCAACTGGCAGCTGCAGCCATGGTGAACAGAGAATGAGCCGATGTACGCTCTGGTGCTGCCAGTCCAAGGCCGGGCTGGGGAGGCGCTGGACACCCCACTTTCCACGCCGACTCTCCTCCCACCACCAGGCAGAAGGAGGTGGAAAGCAACACGGAGGAGGGAAAGCAAGGAGGGCCCCAGAGGACAGCGCGGCCGGCGCCACCATCCGCCTCTGGGCCTGTCTCGTGGGGACCCTCAGGGCAGACCCCTGGCAGTGGCTGCAGCCCGAGTGCCCCTCCTTGCCAGGGACAGCTGGAGGAACAGTGCAGGCAGGGCTGAGGCCCACTGGCGACTGCACTGGTTTCTCACGTGCGGAGAACGCACAGGAAATTGAGCAGTTGGCTGCCGTCACCGACCTGGCAGTCTCTGTCCACTCTGCAGCTCCGTGGAAGAGAACGCGCTTCATGAGGCCACGCGGTTTCCAGACGCTTCACGCCTAGATGTTTCCTTAAAATTGAGGCTAAAAACCCCGCTATAATCACATGATGCCTGCCACTATTTGAAATCTATAAAATATCTAATTTAGTAATCAAAATAATACTTTGTTTAAAAAAATCAAAACTTAAAACTGTTCTCTTCAGGCCATGATCATGGCATAAAAGCTTTAATGATCAAGCTGTGCTTTGTGTCCCAGCCTCCCTGCCTCACTGTTGTGGTCACTTTCTTTTTGTGAAGGAGACAGTCTGACCTCAGCGCACCCGGCTTCTGAGTTGCTTTGTGGGGGACTCTGGCTTTTCACTGAGGAAAATGGATGGTCCTCGCGAGGGCTCGGCCAGCGTTCAGCCCTCAGTCTCCATAGAGGTGGCAGCCAGGCTCAGACAACACGGGAGGCTCCAGGGCCTGAGCCCACCCAACGTGCACAGTGAGCCCCCGAGACCTGCACCCTGCGCGGGCGTCTCTGGGCAGCGCCCAGCAGGCGGCAGCTGAACAATGGAGCGGCGGAAGGGGCTGGTGAGAAGCCGGGCTCTCCCCTCCTGGCCCGCTCCCACGGCCCCGCCTCAGCAGAGGGCTTCGCCAGGCTGCCGTGCACGCACGCGGGCCCGAAGCCACGCAGCCAGGCAGAGCAGGCGGCACAGCCTTCCGCACTACGTGAGTCATAAACAGTTGAAGCTGTGGGCGACACACGTGCTCTGGCCAAGATGCACTTTGAGATTCCACTTCTGAGAAGAAAACCCTGGTGTGAATCCGCCGTGCTCGCCCAGTCGGCCCGAGACGCCCTGAGCACGCGGCCGCCAGCCTCTCCGAGGTCTCCGCAGACTTCGCCCTCCAGCTGGCAGCGGCTGCTGGGAGGACGGGCTGTGATCACAGATACTCAGAAATTAGGGTACTCAGAGGGAAATCAGGGCATCAGCTTCCAGTGAAGAAGGGCGCCTTGTTCACACTCTACAGTGCTGTTAGGACAGTTAAAAAATACTTCAAAGGCTCCTAAAAGCAATGCTCTCCTAATGGGAACCAGGGCTCCTGGGAGAAACAGCTAACGCCAGGGCTGAGGCCGGAAATGCAGAGAGCCAGGGGCTTCCTGCAGTGCCAGGAAGCAGGAAGAGGCCCCGAGAAGGATCGGAGGAGGCCAAAGAACAAAGACCCTGCCTGAGGGGGCTCCCTCTGGCCAAGTCTGGGATAATTTGAGTGAAAAAATAAACAGCATGCGTAAGGGATTCTGATCCACGGAATAAAATAGGAAACTGCAAACCCACATTGCTGAAGAAGTCGGATAAACTCGGGTTGATAAGGGCGGGATCTCCCCATGGTCCTGCGGTGCCTCCCACACGGACACTTTTTAGCTCCCGGCAGGATCTCCCCGTGGTCCTGGGGTGCCTCCCACATGGACACTTCTTAGCTCCCGGGAAGCAGCCAGGCAGAGCCCTGTGAGGGGTGAGCAAGTCACACCACTAGCCCTACGCTGGGTGGAATCTGTACTGAGTAAAATGCAGGGGCCCTGCCAGCAGCCCCGGGGAGACTCAGCCCTACCCTGCAAGGCCACATCAGCAGCCCCACCAGGTCCCTGACCAGAGCACACCCCAGGAGCAAGATGGGGACCCCTCCAGGCCAAGGGAAGCAAGGCCACGGAGGGCCAGCGACCCCAGGTTGGATGCTGTGGCCCCCCAGGACACTCAGACGGGGTCCAAGCAGGGGACAGTGTCACCTTCATCTGGACGGCTGTCCTGTGCCAGGAACACCCCTGCTTTATGGGAAACGCACGCCTGGGGGTGGGGTGTGGGGCTGGGGGCTCCGGTGGGGCGGCAGGTGGACGAGTCCTCACGGGCTCTGGCAGATGTCCCTGCATCTCCTTGGTAACTTTCCTATGAAGTGTGCGGCTGTTTCAAAATTTACAATGTCTATCAAAAGAAAATTTCAAAGTCTGTTTATAAAGAAATCTAGCCTTTCCTAAAACAAGCATTTTAGGGAAAACTTGAAAGGCATCTACAAAGAGAATTAAGGATAGGAACCAGAAAGAGGTAGGTCAATCAATGTTCTCTGTCATCTGAATGCTCTTCCAGCCAGATACACCCCGGCGCTGTATCCAGTCGATGGAACTGCACCCCCCAAAAAGACAGGCCGAGTCCTAACTCTAGCCTGCACAGGGGGTCTCAAGACCGAGTCTCTGCAGATGTGAGCAGGTGAGGATGATGGCATGCTGGGGCGGGTGGGCCCTCAATCCACGGACTGGGGTCCTCATGGGATGAGGAGGAGGCAGGCACAGAGCGCCCGGCCCAGAAGCTAGAGGAGACGGGGAGGATCCTCCCCACAGTGGACTTCCAGCCTCAGGAAGCTGGAGGGCCTGGGTCTCTGTTCTTTCAGGTTGCCCATCTGTCTCCAACTCAGGACAACCAAACAGAACTTCACTAGCGCCACGAACTGCACGCCACAGAAGGCACTTCCACCTCACAACGGCGGCTCTGGGCTGTCCCAATTACAAACCAGAACCCCCAGGAGCCACTCCAGGGGCACCCAGGGCACAACAGGGCCCCCAGGGCAGCAGAGCTCCCCTGGCCAGGCTCCAGGCTCAGGAACACCTGCGGGGCTCCCGTGCTCGCCCCCGTTTCTCTGCCACGGTGCTGGCTCTTCCGCTTACTCAGATGCCCGCCCTCCTCTAACTCTGAACGCCTAACGGCTGCTTCTGCGTTTCTGGCTCACCTCCGGTCACTTCCTATGAAGCATCCTTTCCTCAGTGATGGGGCGCTGGTACTGCCTCTGCTGCGCTGGTGGTTTTCTTTCTTTTCTTTTCTTTTTTTTTTTTTTTTTTGAGATGGAGTTTCGCTCGTCGCCCAGCCTGGAGTGCAGTGGTGCAATCTTGGCTCACTGCAACCTCCACCTCCCGGGTTCACGCCGTTCTCCTGCCTCAGCCTCCCAAGTAGCTGGGACTACAGGCGCCCACCACCACACCCAGCTAATTTGTTTGTATTTTTAGTGGAGATGGGGTTTCACCGTGTTGGTCAGGATGGTCTCGATCTCCCGACCTCGTGATCTGCCTGCCTCAGTCTCCCACAGTGCTGGGATTACAGGCGTGAGCCGCCGCGCCTGGCCCAGGCTGGTGGTTTTCTAAGACACTGGACACCATAGAGGCCCTGCTCAGACACGGGCTCTGCTCTTTCCTCTGGAGAAAGGCAGCCCTGGCACCTGCGCAGGCGGCTTTACTTGGAAACAGAGTCTCGATGTGAGCAAGTGAGGGCAAGGCCATGCTGTTCTCATAAGCAGTTTCGTCAGAGAATGTCCTGAACACCAGTGGACAGACCAGAGTCTCCCAGCGCCGTCCCCTCCTTCCCACCACCAGGCTGGGTTTCAAGCCACATCAGGTGGGTCTAGGGCAAGGTCCTGACTCCCAAAGTGGCCTTTCTGCATCTGTGCGGGATGCTGCCAGGACTGGGGTGCGGACCAGGCCTCTCCACTCCAGCTGGGCTGGACACCAGCACCGGCCTGACAGCACTCTCGCCTGCCAGCAGCTCTGTCCCACCCCAACCCCAAAGCAGCCCCTGAGCACAAGCAGCCGGGGCCTCACGCAGGCCCCGAGACCCTCCCCCAACACCACCACGCATCCCCAGTGCCCTGCCCGCAACTTGGCCACTTCCATCGCCTGGTCCCCCAGTGCAGAGGGACCCACGCTCTGCCAGACACCAGCTCCCCGGAATGAGAGGCCACCTTGGGTGGAGAACCAGGGTGGCCACAGGCTCCCCCCGAGCACCTCCTCTCAGGGGCTGCTGTCCCCCCGCCTGCTGAGGACGCTGGGCCCGTCCATGGTGGGGGCCGGCCTTGCACCAGCTGCTACGACAGCGACAGCTGGACCAAAAATGCAACAGCGTGAAAAGCGACATTCCCGCTTGGTGTTGCTGCAGCCACCGGCTGCTCACTCTTAACAGTGACACACGACAACGGCTGCAACAGCGCAGTGCAGAACATGCATCGCCCGACAGGGGTGTGAGGTTCTCCTGCAGAGAGCTGGGCACGACGAGGTTTCAGGCACATTTCCACACCTCTGAAAATTTCAACTCATCTCATTTCTGCCAACAATTAGAAAAAAAACCAATTCTATTCTCTAGATATGCAAACAAAATTCAAACGTAATCCTTGGCTCCCTAGCCTAGAAGGATCTGCGTGCAGTCGGCACATCTGCAGGATTCTAGAACGGATGGCGTCCCCCCACCGGCGCTCTAAGCCCTGTTCCCTCGTCCTGCGCCCGCCCTAGGCCCTGGGGTTTCTACCAGGGGAGAGGCACCCAGGGAGGAGGGGCACACGCACCTGTGATGGGCACGTAGCCGACGCCCTGCTGGTACACCGTCGGCATCAGGACCACAGGCTGGGGTGGCATCACCATGGCAGCTGGCAGCAGCTGGAACACAGCGGAGACAGTCCCGGGGTCAGGAAGGAACATCTACCCATCAGAACCTCAGGAATCGCCCTCCCCATGCTAGCCCCGAACCCAGCTGTGAGCCCTGAGTGCACAGGGGACGCCGGGGCCCACTCCCACCCCCGCACCACCTCCTCACGTCCAGGAGGTGACATGGCTCAGGCTTACAGACCCCCCGCACCACCTCCTCACGTCCAGGAGGTGACATGGCTCAGGCTTACAGACCCCCCGCACCACCTCCTCACGTCCAGGAGGTGACATGGCTCAGGCTTACAGACCCCCCGCACCACCTCCTCACGTCCAGGAGGTGACATGGCTCAGGCTTACAGACCCCCCGCACCACCTCCTCACGTCCAGGAGGTGACATGGCTCAGGCTTACAGACCCCCCGCTAACTGGGATGTGACGGAGAGACGATGGCATCAGGAGGGACATCCCAGTGTAGGTGTCAAGGGGGCCTGGGGGGAACCACACTGCACAGCTGTGGTGTCTGAGTTTAAAACTGTCAACTTGAGATAAGTCACTGCACTGCTGTCGTCTCTGAGTTGAAAACTGTCACCTGCAGGTAAAGTCACTGGGGCGTCATGACGGTTCTGCGTATGAAAGCGTCGGTTAAAGCTGCGTCCTGAGACATTTACACGTGGTCACTCATGGCTGGGACTTGCTTTAAAATATCCCGGCGTTAACAAAAAGGGAGTGGGAGGAGCCAAGATGGCCCAGAAGAGCGGCTCCCTGCTGCGCCCTCTCCGCTGTCACATGGGCCTTGCATTTCCCACAGCACCATTTTTCAGCAACAACCTAAAAATTCCCTGAGTGATAATACAGAGAATCCCTGAGTGATAATACAGAGAATCCCTGAGTGATAACACAGAGAAGACGGTAGGAGTTCTGCGTCCTGGAGCCTCTAACTGGCCCTCCCGATGCCCCCAGGAGCTGCAGGTGTCCTGAGGATATAGACAGCTGGGAGCCAGGGCAGCTGACGTGCTGGCCCCACGGCCAGGCCTCGACTTCCTGACCCCGAGCGCGGCAGCCCCCAGGCTTCCCCCACATCTCCAGAGATGCCCTTCCACACCCTGGCCAGTGCCTGCCCTGTTGGGAGGAGCCTGGTGTCCCACAGGGCCCAGGGCTGCATCTCAGACCCTGGAGGGCTGCTCAGCTGGACCCTAAGGGCAGAGCTTGGAAGGGCTGTGAGGGACCTCCGAGGACACAGGGGCCTGCAGTGGAGACCACCACAAAGGGTGGGCCCATCTTAGGAACACAAACAACCCCGATACTCTTTCCCCAGACAGAATCGATGGGCAGGAGCAGTGGGCGGGGCAGCTCCTCTCTGCCACCAAACCACCCAGGGCCCCTGCCCTCTGTCCTCAGAACGCTGAGCCCTGCTGTTTGACGGACTCAGTGCCTCCAGGAAAGAGACCAGGGTGTCTGCGGGGTGGCACAGCCCCGATGTGTCCCAACATACCCTGACCCACCCCACCCCAAGGCCTCTGACGCGTCCCGCCCCTCCCCGATGCCCCTGATACCAGGCCGGCAGCTCACCGCGTAGGACATGACGAGGTTGATCATGCCCTCCTTGTCGTCCCCCTGCCTCCCGCTCAGGCTGTACCACTTGTCCTCCACCTTGCCTTGCCTCAGGGACTCGGGGATGGTGATGTGGGTCCACGCGATGCGGTCGTCCATGGAGAAGGCTCTCTGGGGGAGAAGAGGGAGATGCCCCAGGCATTAGGGAAGGGGCCGCCCTTTCCCTGCGGTCGCACCATCATGGGCCCGTCTCGAGTTCCCATCTCATCGGTGGAACAAGGCTCCCACCTGCACCCACACCCCATCAATGAGACCCCTCAGGCAGCATGGGCTTCACGGTCGTTTATCAACGATCCTTCCCTCTCTCCACCAGGATGGGCCAGGGCCAGGGCTAGGTCTGGGGCTGGGGAAAGTGAGGGTCCTGGGCTGCTATCCTCCTCCAGTTCCAATTCAGGGACACTAGTTGCTCCTCCCCAGCCCTCCGGGCCCCATCCTTGCTCCACCGGCTGCCACCTCCCAAGCCCCAGAGCAGCTGGGGCACAGGCTGGAGAGGACATGGGGTCTGCCTCCCACAGCTGCCTCTGTACTTCCCATGCGCTCTCCACTCTTCTGAGGGCCAGGGAGGGGAAAGCAGGTCGGGATGGGGAGAGAAAAGCCAGGAGGAAAAGGCAGGGCCCAGGCAGGGAGGACTGGCCATTTGCTGGCCTGGCTGCCCCACACTGCTCCCTAGCCCCCACCCGTGCTCTAGCCTCCCAATGGCACAGGTGCGAGGTGCCGGGACCACGCGGAGCAGCAGCCTTGCCACATCCCCCTCTGACCTTCTGACTCTGCCTCAGAAGCGCTGCAGGTGCAGCCATGGACAGGACTCAGGACCCTCAAGGGTCACAGCCACTCGCACCATCAAGAACAGCTTTCCCACCCGGCAGGCGGCCGGACTCGCTGGAAATCCCACCTGCTGGTGAGCGGCCAGACCCGGTGCACCCGCCCAGTGGAGGGGACACGTGCACGCTCTGTCCCTGGGTCATGCTTGTCACTGGGGATGTTTCCAAATGTAAGGGTGTTCAAGGAGCTGGAAACAATCTCTTTTTTTCACATTCCTTGGGGAGAGTAGGACCCTGTTATGCACCCAATGAAACACCAGGTGGGGACCCACACCTCGAAGCCAGCCAGGAACGTGGTTGTGTCGGCAGGTGTGTTCCCACGGCAGCCACGCTCAGCCACGTGCGGCCTCCCATAAGAGCTGGCATGTCCCTCTCACCTCATCGAAGATTTCGAGATAGAACGAGTCCACGCCTGGGGGCACCGTGCAGTGGATGACCTTATTCCAGCGGGGATTCTTGGCGCCATTGTGTGCCGTGGGCGTCTCATACACCGCATAGCCCAGGCGCAGTCGGCAGTAGGGGTCCATGCGGGTCATGCCGTAATTCTTGGCCAACTTTGCCTGGAATGAAGCCAATGTCAGGAAAAGGAGGTGCCAACCATCGGGAGAGGGCGGGTTCTCTAGGCCATCTGCCTCCCTGAACCCTTCCATGAGGCCTTTTGCTAACATATCGACTACAGACACTCAGAGTCGCCAGAACACGACTGTGACCTGCTTCCCAGGAGGCCAGGAGCAAGAAGACTGAGCCACAGAGGAATCATGCAGTTCTGAGACAAAGTACGTGGCTCATCCTTGACAGCAGAAACCTACAACACTCGCAGACACAGCTGAGGCCGCCACTCAGCCGCCACGAAGGGTGCACTCTCTAACCACCTCAGAAGCAGCTGAGGAGGGAAAGAGGAGGAGGTCCCGGCACAGAGCTGAGAGCCAGAGCACAACAGGGAGCATGAACCTGCCCCGGAGCACGATGACCCGGGAGACAGGGAGCGTGAACCCGCCCCGGAACACGATGACCCGGGAGACAGGAGCGTGAACCCGCCCCGGAGCACGATGACCCGGGAGACAGGGAGCGTGAACCTGCCCCGGAGCACGATGACCGAGAAGACAGGGAGCGTGAACCCGCCCCGGAGCGCAGTGACCGGGAGAGGTGCGTCCCTGCTCCAGGCGGGAGCGAGGACACCTGCTGTGCATGATTCAGACGCCACGTGGCTGCTTTCCTCCCCGTCATGAAGGCAGCAGCCCTGCCTGTGCTATCGGAGCAGGTGGCATTTTGGGGACAGGAACTTGTCTTTCTTGTGTCTCCCAATCACAAGGAGCCACATCACATGTAGACCATGAGATTCGACTTCAGGCCAGGCACTCAGCTGGGCTGGGACATTTGAGGTCCGCGGGGTGGGAGTGAACGTGTGTTAAAGGGAATGAATATTCAGAATAAGACAAAAAACTGTGGCACATAAGACAGAAGACTGCGGCACGTAAGACAGAAGACTGTGGCACGTAAGATGATTGCTCAGCAAACAAACTCAACGTGGATTCAAATATTTGAATATTCAAATATATTCAAAACTCAGGTTCAAATATAAAACCTAAAACTGTAAAACTTTTACAAGAAAAAATCAAGAGAAAAGCCGTCGTGAGCTGGGTTGGGTTCAGCCCTGCAGCTCCGGCTGCCTCCCTGGAACGCAGACGGCCTCCCCGCACTGCCGCCACCCGCTCTCCTGCGGCCAACCTGGCTCACCCCCAGGAGCTGGTGACAAAGACCCCAGGAGCCATCTCGGCCCTCCCAGCCACACAGAGCCCACCAGTTCCTCCTTCCCAGTGTAACAGAGTCCAGACACTGCCCCCGACCCCTCTGAGGGCACGGCCTCCCGTCCTCTCTGCCCTCTCTCTGAAGGCACGACCACCCCATCTTCACCGCCCCCCACCCCCCTAAGGGCACAGCCACCCCATTCTCACCGCCCCCCACCCCCCCTGAGGGCACAGCCACCCAGTTCTCGGTGACCCCCTCTGAAGGCACCGCCACCCTGTCCTCATCGCCCCCTCTGAGGGCACCACCACCCTGTCCTCACCACCTCCTCTGAGGGCACAGCTGTCCCATCGTCGCCACCCCCCGCCGCACAGCTGAACTGTCCCCTCCTGTGCCCACATCTCTGGACTGCCGGGTCCTCTGTTTTCTATTCTCATCCACATACAAGTTCCCTCCTTTCACTTCTAACCAAAACTGTGGCCGGCCGTTTTATGTCAAAACCGCCCCATTCTTGGGTCCTTAATTTTAGCGTGTTTCTTGGGTGGCCGGAGCGTGCTCTGGAATACTACGGAGGAACAGTTTTCTGGAAGCTTCTGGGTGACCAGCAGCTTCCAATTCCCTTCTGCTGCACACCCACAGATCTGCCAGATCAGCTCTTACACTCGAAACTCCGCCCCTCTAAACTCCTTAGAAATTGCCCTATTTTCTGGAAGGTATGTAGCAGGAAAGTCTGAGACCAGCGTGATGTTCCCAAGCTTTCAGGTAACTGTGCTGTTTCTGCCTAGTTGCTAAGACTTTTTATTATTATTAACTTTAAAGGCTTTGAGCAAAGGCAGCTTTCCGGGCGGCATGTGGGACTCCCGCTGCCAGCGTCCCTGTGCCCGTCACCGACACCTGCTCACACTGGGTCCTGCCCGCTTCTGTCACACTCAGCCTTGTCCTGTCATTCCCGTCTCCTCCCACTGCCCTCTGCACTGTGGCTAGAAAACTCTAGGAGGAGCGTCCTGTGACATCAACTGCTCTACTGAAGTGACCTCCTTGATGTTTACGGAAGCATCTGCCCATTCACTACAACCCCACACAACCACACGCTGTTGTGATGCGGCAGACGCTGCGGGCACTGCGGGCACTACGGACACTGCGGGGACACGCAGGCACCGCTGCCTCCCCGACAATGGGCAAGAGACGCGCGGCAGACACACGGCATGGCAGACGGCGCTACCACTGCAGGCACGACCAGCTCGGAGGACCAATGTGTGGGCTGCAGGATCTGGAGGAAGAGCTGCAGGAAGCGGGAAGAGAACGGCCAGGGAACAGGAAGGTCAGGAGTGACCGGGGGAGGCAAAACACGGGCCCCGGCTTGAGAAGCCTCGGCAGGACAATGCCCACGAGAAAGGCCTGTGCAGGGAGTGACCTGCTCTGGCCACAAGCCAGTGGCTGAGCGGAGGCAGTGGGTGGTGCAGGGGGCTCCCCGCCTGGACCGGCAGAAGGTGGCGCCTGTGCTGAGGGTCAGGCCTGAAGGGCAAGAGGTGGAGATGAACCGTGGAGCACCAGGAGCACCAGAGCTTTGGGCCTCAGCTTCCAGAGTGTGGGGCAACCACCTGCAGACATGGGGGAGAAGCTGGGAGGGTGGCTTGGGAGGTCCACCTTGGGCACATGGAGTCTGGCATGCCCTCGGGACATCCGGGGAGGCCATGTGGCCATGGTCCGTACCTGGGAATCTGGGGTGGAGCTGAGTGTCTGGCTCAGGCTGGGACCAGCACACAGATGTTTAGACCCACAGGGACGCAGGAGTCACTGGGGTGTGTGGGCAGAGACGGGAGGAGGGCTGAGGACCAGACCCCTTGGCACCCCATTGGGGCCCCAGGACACGATGAGGGGAAGCAGCCAGGGGAGGCAAGCAGGGAACCACATGTGCAGCTGCCCAGAAGCCAAGAGAAGCAGGAAGCGGGTGCTGAGCTACGTGGCCCAGTGAGGAGGCAGGAATGTTCCCCCCCACTGGAGCTGTGGCACAGAAGGCTGGGTGAACTCGCGTGGAGGAAATAGACAGGCTGCCTGCAGTGGGCTCCAGGATGTGGGAGAAGACCAAGGGGGGCCGGAGGCGTGGGCAATGCCAGGGCCACCTCCAAGGCCCAGCCAGGTCTGGAGTTTGAACTGTGAGGCGGAGTGCCCTGCGGTCACCAGGCCCTGCCAGGAGGTAGCGGCTGAGAATGGGTGATGGCACTAGGTGGCCTGGTGGCAGCTGGGGCAGGAAAGCATGGGCTTACAGGAGTTCACTGGGTGGGCAGAGGGATGGGCCACACCAGCAGAGAAACAGCTGCAAAGGCAAGGGTTTGAGACACGCTGCGAGGAAGGGGTGACGGCACAGCTGTGCCCACCACACCAAGTGAAGCCCCTGAAACCAAGTCTTATTTGTGAGGTCCGCAGCGACTCTTCTGCCTGCTGTATTTGTGCATTTCTACAAAAGCCTGCGTGGCTCACAATGTGTTTCCTTTTCCTGTGATCTTACGGAATGTTTTGGTGTGATCAAAATCGGTGTTCAATCTGCCGATTTTGGTTTTCACTTGAAAGTCCACTGAGTCACCACGTCCTGGCGGCTGGTGTCCAGCCCTGAGGCTGACCGAGGGCTGCTCTGTGGGGAGGGGAGGGTGCGGGCACCGGCACTGGGGCCAACGGGAAGCCACTCGCACAGCACACGCCGAGTGGTGGGGGGCCAGCTACGCCTCCTCCAGCTGCCGGCAGGGGCCTGGGAGGCGTCCTGGGGCATCCTCAAGCCTGGTGGTGGAGCCGGTCGGACCCTACACGGAGCGGACGCCCACCTACCCCCACTACTCATCATTTGAGTTATGTTTGGCAAAACCCGGGGTCAATGCCAGTATTTTTCACACAGATCGTTTTCAACATCACACATTTCAGGAAAAGCGGGAATCAGAAGTTCCGTTTGCCCGCTTAGGAAATGTGGTGTAAACGCCGAAATCCTCAATCCCACCCCACCTGAGCGCACCAGCCCCAGGCAGGCAGGAGGGTGCCCCAAGGCCCACCTGAACCACAGTGATGTTCAGTCGGCCCACGGTGCCCACGGTGCCTCCGTACTGCAGCTGCTGGGCCGCCTGTGCGTCCAGCTGGACCTGCCGCTGCTGTTGTGTGGGCGTGATGCGGAGGAAGTCCTGCGGGAGCTCGCCGATGTACACCTGCGGGGCCGGGGACCAGAGAGGCAGTGAGTCAGGGTGGGGACACAAAGCAGCCCGATAGCAGCTGCCCCAGCATTCCCGAGACCCGGCCCCACCCCCACCCATTTCCTAATCAAGTCCTGGACTGTGCTCAGCCTCCGTTTCCTCATCTCTAAACCCAGGGGTCACGGGCGTCCAGTCTGGGGCCTGGCCCCCAGCGGCACAGGTGCAGCCCTTACTCAGGAGATCCCCAAATGCAGATTTCTGCTGCTAAAAACGGGTTCCCGTCCGCAAAGCCTAGTCAGGTGGCTTTCAGGTCATTTTAAAGGGTCTCCCTTGCACCATGTGTGCCCATGGCTTCCTTCTCCTTGTCCACAGCTAAAGGCAGGGCCACTGAACTGCAGGTCACTTGGTCAAACAAATGAATGAGACAAAATCTGAATCTCAGGTCTAAAGTGATTTGGAAAACCCTCTGCTGATATACTTCAAATGTTTCTACATGAAACAGCTGAAATGCAAAAGTACCCCAGAACACAGGAAGTAAATTAATTCCAACCAACCACGAAAGACCTCCCCACTCTGCATCCTGTCTCTCCTCGACCCTCTGTCCACCGCGGCTGCCCCTGAGGGGAGGAGAGCAGATGGGCCCGTGTCATGGACTCCCAATGACACGGTGCCAGGCAGGGCTCCAGGAGGTTCTGAGTTCAGCCCTGCACCTGCTGTGCTCTAGCCGCCTGGCACTTCAAAGGACCCCACGAGGGTCTAGCTCCTCACCTGTGTCCCCATCTAAGGCCTGGAGAGCACAAGCCAGTCAGCACTCCACAACCAACGGCAGCAAAAACAGAAGGGACCCGGGCAACCCAGCACTGCTTCGCGCGGTTACGGACTCAGGCCCCCGGGCCTGGGGAGCGCCCCAACCCGAGCAGCCAGCGCGGTGTGTGCTCAACCGCTCTTCTCTAAGAATCAACACACACTTCGTGCCTTTCCCCACACTTTACCCCGTTTTTGACCGGACACATCACGAGTGACCTTTGCCCCGTGAGAGAAGCCGTCTTGTGAGAACAGCAGAGCGCCCCGGCTTCACCTCCGGAGGGTGTGGCACAGGCCAGGGCCTGAAGGGACCCCCTGACGGACAAGCAAGGAGGGTGCCGAGATGCCTGAGGGGAGCAGGCCCATGCCAGGAGTCCCAGGCCAGCCTCCTCCGGGCAGCCTCTCATGAGGCGCTGTACAGCTTACCAGCAAGCTCTGGCTTAGGAGGGCGCTGAGAGGGGCCCCGTGGCACGAGATGCTAAGCACCTGCTCCTGCTGGCACACAGGAGACACTGGGGTACAAAAGGCCAGGGCCCCTCACCTGCCTCCCAAAGGAATTCACAGCCCAGAGCTCTCTCCCTGGGGGACACCTGGCCCCGCAGGATGCACCTCCCTGCCAACTTCACAGGGCCCTGGCACAGCCCATGTCCGCAGACTCTATCACTAGCTCTGTCTGCTCACCAGGAATGGCTTATCTTGCAGAAACAGACTCGTGCTAACCAAGTTCTCGGGATTAATATACACAGGCCAAATTCCTGTTTATTTGTGACAACTGCTTCCTCCGTGCCCCACACACAGCTCCGGGGACACGGCAGGAAAAGCACTGCATCTCCTGGGCACACGTGGGAGACAGACAGGCGGCTCGTGTCCTCCTGGGCACGTATGGGGGACAGACAGGCGGCTCATGCCCTCCTGGGCACATATGGGGGACAGACAGGCGGCTCGTGTCCTCCTGGGCACGTATGGGGGACAGACAGGCGGCTCGTGTCCTCCTGGGCACACATGGGGGACAGACAGGCGGCTCGTGTCCTCCTGGGCACGTATGGGGGACAGACAGGTGGCTCGTGTCCTCCTGGGCACACATGGGGGACAGACAGGCGGCTCGTGTCCTCCTGGGCACGTATGGGGGACAGACAGGCGGCTCGTGTCCTCCTGGGCACGTATGGGGGACAGACAGGTGGCTCGTGTCCTCCTGGGCACACATGGGGGACAAACAGGCGGCTCGTGTCCTCCTGGGCACACATGGGGGACAGACAGGCGGCTCGTGTCCTCCTGGGCACACATGGGGGACAGACAGGCGGCTCATGTCCTCCTGGGCACATGTGGGAGACAGACAGGCGGCTCGTGTCCTCCTGGGCACGTATGGGGGACAGACAGGTGGCTCGTGTCCTCCTGGGCACACATGGGAGACAGACAGGCGGCTCGTGTCCTCCTGGGCACGTATGGGGGACAGACAGGTGGCTCGTGTCCTCCTGGGCACACATGGGAGACAGACAGGCGGCTCGTGTCCTCCTGGGCACGTATGGGGGACAGACAGGCGGCTCGTGTCCTCCTGGGCACACATGGGGGACAGACAGGTGGCACGTGTCCCGGAAACAGAAGCATGGAGAAGCTGGTCAGGGAGAGAGTGTGGGTGGTGACAGGGGTGTGTGGAAGTGGGGTTCACAGAGGCCTCTGAGGGAGCACTGTGGGTCCCTGGCTGTTCTGGCTCCGGGCTGTCCTGGTACTTGGAGGCACCCGGCGCTCCGCTCCATCTCCTCACTCTGCGTGTCCATTCGAGACAACGGGACTCGCTCCCAGCTCATTGCTGGGAGAAAATAAAACTATACCCGAAGGCCAGATGATCAAGTGTCATCTCCAACAAAGATTTAACCATCAAACGACAAAGAGGAAACGAGGGCTGTTAACGTAAGCCATGTGGACAGAACACGGAAAGGGGAGAAGCAGCCCCCAAGGATGGAGCTTGTCAGCCCACGCAGCCCGGGGACCGTGGCCAGCACCACGTGGCAAGGGTGCATCCGGCTCCCCGAGATGACGCACACGCACCTCTGGGCTTTCTTCCCCAAAACCCACACCCCGATCAAGAGACATCTGACAACATATCTGACCCGTCAGTCCTCCTCAAACTGTCAAGGTCCCAAAAACACAAGGGAAGCCTGAGACACGGCCCCAGACTGGAGACGGAGACACAAAGGCTACGTGCAAAGTGGGGTCCTGGGACAGCAGGGGACAGTCATCGAAAAACCAGGACATCCAAACAAAACCTGGAGCCGGCAGTCACGCCCCAGGTCGGCACCACTGCTGGGAGAGCTGTTCCCGGGGAGGGGAGCGTCGGCCGGGGAACGTGGGTGAGACACACAGGGCCTCTTTGTGCCAGCTTTTCAATTCCACCTAAAACTGAACACTACAAAATTCAAGGTTTTTCAGAAAAATATTCCACTTAATCTAAAGAGAGCAAGAACGAGAGAGGAGTGGGAGGAGAGGGCTTCAGTCCTCCCCGTACAAACACTGGTTATGCAACCTGCTGCCCCGCCTACGAGGGAGAGGCGGCTCGCTGGCTGCTGCAATGCCCTCGTTTCTCAACTGAGAGCGAAGCCCTCCAAACGGGGAGGAGGGAGTTCTACCAGTTCATGCTCCATGAGTCACAGGGGGGTCCAGGTGCTGAAGTAAACCCTATCGTTTCAGTGATGACACTCAGCAAACATCTATTTTGAATTTATTTTTTAAATTCAGTGCTAATCCTAAAATTTACTTTTGTCATATTACGATGGAGGAGATGTTTCAATGGTCACGTACAAATATATGCTGTACCCTGGTTCAAAGGCTTGGAAATATGAAAACAAAAATGATTACTCGTGATACATAATGGATATTTTTCTAGAGTTTTGCTTCCATGTACAAGATGTACATCCTGGCCGGGCGCGGTGGCTCAAGCCTGTAATCCCAGCACTTTGGGAGGCCGAGACGGGCAGATCACGAGGTCAGGAGATCGAGACCAGCCTGGCTAACACGGTGAAACCCGTCTCTACTAAAAAAATACAAAAAACTAGCCGGGCGAGGTGGCGGGCGCCTGTAGTCCCAGCTACTCAGGAGGCTGAGGCAGGAGAATGGCGTAGATCCGGGAGGCTGAGCTTGCAGTGAGCTGAGATCCGGCCACTGCACTCCAGCCTGGGCGACAGAGTGAGACTCTGTCTCAAAAAAAAAAAAAAAAATGATGTACATACTGAGTTCAACACTAACAAGTGAGTTTAAACGCCTGTGTGAAGGCTGACAATTCCACTTTGGGAACCAGTCCATGTCAGCGCTCGCTTGGGCACGTGACCACGGGATGCCTGCGGCTGCATCCCCTGTGCGGTCAAAACCCCCGTCCACCAGCCAGGCACATCCACCCAGCGCAGGGACACGCGGCCTCACCCGGAGCCGGAAGCCCCTGCCTGGAACACAAGGAGACCGGGGGATGGAGGCGGAGGCACAGCACGACATGCTGGGGGAGCCATAAGGAGGCCTCTGTCGAGACCAGCTCTGGAGGAGCGTTCGAGAATGGAACTCGAGGGACACGGGCAGGGAAGGTTCTTTATTTATACTTTCATATCCTCCTAGTTATTTTTAGAAACTTTTTTAAAACCACATTCGTGAATTACTTTTAAAATAAAAAGGACAGTGTAGGGCTCTCATCCCACAAAGCTCTCTGTTTTATCTTCTCTGAAAATAAAAGCTACTTTTATAAATATTAGTCCGTTTTAAATACAGTTTAAAAATGTAACGTCACATTTCTTGGACTTGCTGATTCTCCTCCCCCTGTGGTGCTCTCAGAGGATCACGACGCACGCCTGTGACTGACGACCATTCCTCCCTTGCTGACGCCAGAGCTCAAACCATTGCAGCACCTTTCCACATCAAAGAAAAGAGATCGCCAAAATTCACTTCTAATTTAAAACAATTTCCCTTCAAGTCTAAGTTTTACTTTTGGCACAGAAATAAAGTCTTAATTCTTCTTTTTTTGTCATGTAACGTGTGTAGTCAACCCAAAGCTAATTTTTTCTTTTTAAGCACACAAACAAGCACCCACTGTGAATATTCCTGTGACATGTTTCCAACTGAGAGAGCCGCTGCTTCCTGAGGCCCCACTTTCTGCCCAACAGAGCCCAGGAAGAGCCCTGTTCAGCCCAGGATGTGCAGTCCTGAACACACGCAGTCCTGGCCTCAGTCCT